GTTAAAAGATGGCTGCTTGCTGAATAGTTGTCTACTTGGCTAGCTTGTTCAGCCGGCTAACCTATAGAAAATTGTCAAATCTTGGCCTCCGATATAACTTTCAAAATCGAACTGCCTACCTCAGTATTTCACAAATCTTAATTAAGTTATTTGTTGTTAGTTACGGAGTATCCTCGGGGGCGGACATCCAGGCATTTTCACTGCCTGGCAACCATCGCGGTGAAAACAAAGGCCGAGAACACTCAGAAAACTGTACTTTGAGATAGTTGTTAAGACTCCCCTAAACAGTGTAACAAGATTAGCCCTATGTGTGTAACATATGTAAATTTGATTGTTCAGGATTACTTCAAAGTTGAGTTCCATAAGAAATACGTGGTACAGTGGTCTTAGCAACGTGGAACGTCTTGTGACGTAGCTCCGCCCCCGAGGATTGCATAAATTCCATTTTGGCAACGTTCCAGATAATGTCAATATAATAGTATGTGTTTTTAGTATTACAGTAATGGCTGTCAAACAATTATATCAACACTGAGAATCCAAATTTGTTTAACTTTCAACAAAGATTTTCATGAAATTTAGTCAAATTATAAAATTGCAAACATGAAACCGAATTTTGATTACTTGTTAATAATATTGTATATAATATAAACTATTATTATACTTCTGTCACCGTAACGCCATAAGTTGCACAATGACGTAATTTTGCGATATTTTACAGGGTATTTTCATCCTACCATATTAGGAAATGCGAATTCCAAATATGGAATGATTACACGCATAAGCATCCTCTAATAATAAAAAAAAAAAACATGGCTGCCATCAGGGTTTGACCAGATTCCACACAAAGAAGTTCGCTGATTCTGTTCTAAACATTTTGGATTTCGGCATTCCCATGATGTATCATTGGGAGGAAAAGATGTATAATAATAAAGTGCGTGGCAGTCCATACTGCTGCTGTACTGTCTTCGTGCATACTTTGAGGTATCCTCGTAATAACCTCATATTATTAGTAATTTTCTGCATCAACTGTTTCTACAAGTTATCAACTTCAATTTTCAAATATTAAATATCATATTAAATTTTCTCTAAAATACCATATACATAGGATTTTTTATAACAGCAGTACTGAGGGTTTCATACAGAGTATAATACTATTATTATTATATTATTTTATTTTTTTTAACTAAACAGGCGCAATGTTAATGGCAATATGCTTGAAGGGAATGATTGAGAGGGAGACAATCTCACTGACCAAATCTATGATGAAATCTGGTGACGTTTTGAAATGGCCGGATGAATGGAAAGGTTTGATAGTTGATAAGCATTCCACTGGTGGAGTTGGGGATAAAGTCAGTCTTCCATTGGCTCCAGCTTTAGCAGCATGTGGTATGAAGGTAAGTATAGTACAGCGCCCTCAGGTGACATCATCTGGCCCTCTAGTGTTCAGATTGTTAATAAACCAATGTATTAACAGATAAAACGTGTTATTTCACATATCACTTAATTAATTTACATTGAAATTGCATATTTTTGAAACTGTGAGTGATTACTTCTTTTGTGAACATTCACAAGGTCATCCTGAAATTCTGAGTGGCAGCAAAACAAGAAATACTTTTGGGGTTCAAAGAAATAGCTGCTTAGATTATCTTGTCAGCAACTTAGCAGCACTGCTGTGGCCCTGGAAGTGATCCTTTTCGTATGTGCCAACAAATTTTGACAGGGTAAAAACAACAGTAAAAACAGACATCTTTGTTCTTTAAGCTGCTTCGGGAAAAATAGTCTGAACTAAAACTTCATTTTATGTTTGTGTACATTTGGTATTTGTTTATTATGTGTCTTACCTGTCCTGCTCCTCTGAATGGCAATGTGTTCTCAGAAATACCATAAATTCACCTTTTTTTCAACTTATTTATTTGTATATTAAATTAATTAAATAAGTTACCAATTAATGGAAACCCTAGTTTTTACAAGGAGGGCTCAATATCAATATTGGACAAGTTTTGAGGTCCCGGAAGTGTTCCATAATGTCATGTTAATTACTAAACCTTTAGAGACAGAAAGGGGGGTTGATTTTACATTGATATATCCATTAGCCCATTTGCACCATTTGAATATACATTTTTGTATGTTAATTATCCCTCAGAAATATTCTACAAAAGAACATACAGACACCATGGGGGATATAAATGATATATTTTGTCTTCATTCATGTATATATGAATTTGAAATGTGTTTTCTATATTTTATGAAAGTTTGAAAACTGTCACAGATAACGTTGTATGTCTTCAACACAGACTGAATCAAAATGTGAAGTAAAATACTGAAGCAGATATAGCAAAATAATTTCTTGCACATGGTAACTTAGCAACCAGGAAATGTTGGGATCCTAAGACAGGTCTATTTCACAGAAAATCTGCTATAATCAAATGTTCAAACATGCACCATTTGGCCTTGATATAGAGAGAATCTCAACACTAGTGTACTATTCGTATCAGATTGTCAATTATAATTATTTCAATTAAAAGTTTAATAAATTGTAATAGAAACAAATTTGTATTCCATTAATTGGTCCATGAGCAATAATTATTTTTGGAAGTGGCTGTATGATAAAAAAAAAATTAAAATTATATTACTGGGAGATTGATTTATTGGAGCGTTTCTTTTGCAGACATGACCAGGGTAAAACTATACTAACGTAGACTTCTGTAGTGTTTTGTTTGCAAACAGGGTAATACTGTGGACTAGTATTTCTTTTGCAGATATGACCATGGTAAAACTATACTAACGTAGACTTCTGTAGTGTTTTGTTTGCAGACAGGGTAATACTGTGGACTAGTATTTCTTTTGCTGATATGACCATGGTAAAACTATACTAACGTAGACTTCTGTAGTGTTTTGTTTGCAGACAGGGTAATACCGTGGACTAGTATTTCATTTGCAGATATGACCAGGGTAAAACTATACTAATGTAGACTTCTGTAGTGTTTTGTTTGCAGACAGGGTAATACCGTGGACTAGTATTTCATTTGCAGATATGACCATGGTAAAACTATACTAACGTAGACTTCTGTAGTGTTTTGTTTGCAGACAGGGTAATACCGTGGACTAGTATTTCATTTGCAGATATGACCAGGGTAAAACTATACTAACGTAGACTTCTGTAGTGTTTTGTTTGCAGACAGGGTAATACTGTGGACTAGTATTTCTTTTGCAGATATGACCCTGGTTAACACTATGATAGTATTCAGTTATCGCTGTTGACGTGAGGTAATTTCTAAAGGGACAATTAAAAAAGTAAAAAATGGCATGGGTAACGAAAAGAAATATCAAGGTGGATTTATCGCATCTGACCATTTAATTCCTGTCAGTGGTGAATTGAAATGCTAGAGGAAAATATATAAAAAAATGTT